GGACCTCGTGGAAAAATCCCGGTAAAAAACTATGGTTTCTGGTTTTTTCACTTGCGTTTTTTCCTTTTTTCTAGCATTCCGAATTGACCTTCACTGTGGGGTATTTTTTTCCAAGCCATCAGGGGAACACTCGGTTTTGGCCCTTTCCCCAAAATTTTTCTGAAAAATTGGTAAATGACGATCTTTTAAACTTAATGGGAAATGAAATTGATTCTCCTTTTTTTCCTGTCGGCCAGGTTTGCCAATTTGGTATGTTTTTCCCAAACTGATTTCGGATGGTCTTTTTTTTATTTTTCTAGTTTTTCAGAGCTTTTGTGTCGATCTTCTGGTTTCTTTCCAAGGCCTAAGGTTCAATTTTAAGGTCGTAGTGATCCCCATTGGTTAACCCTTTTATTCGGTCCTTTGCTGCTACATTTGTTGCCCTTTGAAAAGGTAAAATCCCCTGTTGAATTTAAAGACCAAAAAGGGGGTTAAAGGTTTTTAAAGATCTTTATCAGCATGAAAACTTATGCCCAAATTTTTCGATAAAATCTTGATCATCACCACCCTTGTAAAAAAAATTTTTTTAAAATTTTTTTTTTGTAAAGAAACAGTCTAAAAATTTTGTAAAAAATGTTCAAAATAGAGTCCCGCAAATTGTGGGGTGTTGTTTTGGTCCAAAGGGAAAATGAGAATCTTTTTTTGGGGAAAATTTAAACCCAAGACAGGGAAAAGGAAGAGTTATTTTGGTGATCATACCTAACTGTATTGAATTCAAATTTTGCCCTTTTTCCAGGGGAGCCTTATTCAAGAAAAATTTTAAATCTTTCCCCATTTAATATCCCCAGAATTTGGGAAACATACTTGGTTTTTTTGGAGTGTTTTTCCCCCAAAATTTTAAAAATTTTGTGTTAAAATTTGGCGTGCCGAACCAATTTCGCCCCTTCGATCAATTAAAATCTTCCCCCCATGGAGGGGGGCTGCTAAAACTTGGAGGGTTAAAACTGAAAATTTCAAACATGAGAGTCTGGCGATCTTTTTTTTCTGGCATATCAAATAAGGGGACAAATTTTGTTTTGTCTGACCGGAAACCAAAAGTCCCACATTTTTTCACTTCGTCTTGAAAGGGGAATCTGTATTTCCAAAATTTATTTTGGGAGTGGCCATGAAATGTTTTATTCTACCCGGGGGGTTTTAATCAATATGTTGCAGCCTTCCTGATTTTACTACGTTGGGAAAATTTTTTTTTGCTCCTCCGGGATAGACTTTTATCCCAAAAAGGGGGTTTCACATTCAATGTGAGCTTAAGGCTTTTTGTGAATTTTGTTGGGTAATTCGCGGTAGGAGCGATTTAAACAGAACCTCTGGCTTCTGAGGTTCATCCCCCCCCCCTTGTAATTTTTTGAAGCCCCCTTTTTTTGACTAAAATTTAACAATTTTAATAAGGTAAACCCGCAGTCTTTCCCGTTTGTTTGGAGGGAAAGCCATTCCTCAAAACCCCTTTTTAATAATTTGGTAGGGGGATGTTGGATCGGGGGGGGAAAAATTAAGCCAACCCACCCCCTGCCCACAAAGTTTTTTTGAAAATTTCATCGAGATTGTCTTTGTTAATCCTTTAATTTTGGGTTTTTTTTGGTGAAGGTTTTGAGATTTAGAACTTCGGGTTTCCTTTTTTTGACCCTTTTTTTTTCGCCTTCCCCCTTCCGGCCCTTTTTGCACTTTTTTCAAAAAGTTTTCAATTTCTTTGGGGGTTGTGGCTAACGCCCGGAAAAAAGATGGTTTTTTATTGGTTTAAAATTTAAAGGTTTTCTTTACTTCGATGGGCTTCGTATTATATTTGGCTTTTTAAATACCAACGGACATGTTTCATCCCGAGGGGACCCCCTAACACATACCTCACAGATCTGTTTTTGGTCGAGGTTGGATTTTATGAAAGAATCCCGTTTCTCCTCGTAAATTTGTGACATTTTTTTTTTTCGACTGACTCGTTTCCCATAGAGGGTTTTTAAGGGTTTTAAAGGGAAGAAAATTTGGGGAAACACTCTCTCTGTTTACGTTTATTTAAAGGACCCATTTTAAAGAAGATCGGTGACCAAAAAACAAAGGGAAACCCCTCCTTCCGGTCCCAAGGTTACATACAGGCCCCAAACAGTGGATCTTTTTTGGGTGGAAAAAAAAATTAAAATTAAACTGGAATTTTAAATGGAAATTTTAAAGGAATTAAAGGAATTTTTAAAATTGAAATTTAAGGGTTCCTAGTTTAACCATCCTATGAACCTGGGTAGGGTTCACATGACAGTTTAGTAAGTAGCTGTGTATTATGAAGTATATTAAGAAGTGTTTGAGCTCTCCGAGAGCATGTGTTCATATGTGAACACATGCCGAGAGCCGAGCTCTCGGCATGTGTTCACATAAACGGACGTTAGCCGGGTCCAAAATGGGCTGGTTCTCGTGTCCAAGGATGTGCGCCGAGCATGCAATGCTTCGAACATGAAGAGTATCGGTTTCAATTCAACATGCCTGCTTGTTCCGTGTAGAGTGTTTATAATCATCGTCCTCAAAACTAGAGACCTGTGACCAAGTATGGTTATATAGTTTTTGGCTCAGCTAATTTTTGTCCAAATTGGATAAAACTTTAGATACTTGTTCAAGAGATTAGTAGCTTCAAGTAAAGCACCACAAAGCTTAGTTTTGGGCATTTTTAGGTGATCTGGCACAATTTAGTCAAAATTTAACCCAAATAATAAATATGGTCATGGCTGCCCCACAATCCACATGCACTGGTGGGCGCCCGGGGTCCGTGTTCTAGTTTTCTTAAAGGTTTGCTCACAGGTCCTAGTTTGTTGGTAAACTGGTTATATAAAATCAGAGTATTCTAAAGAACCTTCTAAGTCTAAGAAATATTTTGTGACTTGAGATGGTGAATGGTTTGAGAAATTAACAATTCCCAAAATAAGGACGGAATAGATCCGAGGAGAGAACAATAAACAACGAATAAAGAGAAAGTAAAGATAAAAGACAGGGTAACACAAAATACAAAGTTGAAAACTGCAAGGGTTTCTAGCAAGTTTATTTAAGGGTTTCTAGCATAGTTATTAATATCACAGTATAAAGTCGGCGAAGGAATTTCATAACAGTGAAAATATTCAGTTTTCGGAAGGTGAAATAGTACAGTACATAAAAATAACACTTATCAACTAGACTGCAAAACTGATACCTAACGAATATAACAAGTGTGATTTGTGCTGTGCTCATGATATAGAAGAGCCGCGCTGAACACTGCCAGTGCTTCTGCCAGCCAAACGGGAATGTAGACAAAGCTCACAGTATTGTGTTACGAAGTTAACCTTGGAATGTTATGACAGCATACATCATCTTATAAGGTCACATAACCCTAACATGAAATAATAAGAAATGAACAACAATACTTTAAGCGTCTCAATTAACGTTCGTTAAACATAACTTTATTATGCATTCATTATATTATTCGTAATTACACGTGATTAGGTTTTCTAATAAGTTTTTTACATGCTCAGGTAACCCATACACATAATTGGCTGAAAATATTCATCATATTATTCGTAATTACATCACGCTATGACTCGTTATCATGCAGTTACACACAAAGTTATTACATTATTCAGCATCATCAAGTTTCCTTATCAGTTATTTGCATGCTCAGCTGACGCACACAGATTCACGGGGTGCAACATTTGTTGTGAGGCTATACTATGGTTTCATGCCAAAATCTAACTTGACAATAAACAGAAATTCAGTGACAATTATACAATGTATAACTATTTCCGGGAATTATATGCACTAAAACTCGAGGACACTGAGAGCTGATAATTTGCAGATATTTCCCGCAGGAGAAGCCCAGGTATTATCAGCACACTGTGAGTCACTTTTGATCTATATGTATATCGCGTAAACTTTCGTACGGTTATAAACCAGAGCTATAGTAACGTGAATAACGGATTAATTAGGAATGCGCCGCCGCAGAAGATGCCAAAAAGTACAAAAAAAAACGGTTTATAGTACAAGAAGGTAAGGAATTAAGAAATTACCGAAATAGCGATCAACATTCAACAACCTCAAGATCTCAAGATATTGCATATAATATTATAATCACGAAGTAAGTATTTTATGAAAGAACAAAGTCAGAGTAACCTGGACTCATGCGTTCTATAGAACTTTAGAGTTCTACTCCATGCTGTCTCGTGCTATGTTACAGTAGCTATTTCACTATGAAAGTATGAAGTATATGATTAATGATTACAATATATATAATATACGAATGAAAACGTGACACGAGGTAGAGAATGTGTCTATTAAAACCTCATATCATGTTACTTTATATTATGCTAACTTTTCTTTGTTATCGTGAGCCACTTCTTATAGAAAAACTTAGTTTTCTGGATTTTGTGTTACTTAATCCGGCTCACGCAACACTAACGACAGGGCGTGTCAAATGGTGTAAATGAAACAAGTTAGTTGACGGAGAAGAAACTATAAAATGAAAACGAAAGTTTATATAGTTATATATATTTTATATAGTTATACAAGATTAAATAGAAAGATACACCTTTCTGCGTAAAGAACCTCTTGATACGATCAAAGATCGTTGTTTGGCTAGTACAAAACAGAAAATAAACAGCTCAAGTTCGTCACGAAACGAAGACAAGAGAAAATCCGGCTTTAAAACTGCAACACTGGCCCATCCTGCGTGATGGTATAATAATATAACGTATCTGTGCCACAACACTTATAATAACTGTAGTCATGGAGACCAGTCACAACCCACAGGGCTGTCAAAGAGCGGACCACTAAATCTATTATTTTAAAATATATGAAAATTTGTTGTTGGTCACAAAAATCAACATATCTTTTACTTTCTGTGAATAATTCAAAATATTTCAACATAATTCAACATCTTATGTTGACAATAATTCAACATCTCATGTTGACAATAATTCAACTTCTCATGTTGACAATAATAATTCAACATCTTATGTTGACAGGAAGAAGTTTCCGCACGTGATCCCGATCTACATCAGCATGTGCAGTATGACCAGTGTGTGGATTGTTGGAATTCCTGTTATTGTGGGGACACATATCTACTGCTCCCAGATGTATATCATACGACAGGACGAATACAGTGGCTCACTTTTCTGTACAATTCAGGGTAAATATTGAGATATCAGCAAGCCTTCAGTTATTTCTGACTACTAAACTGTATTATCCGTCATTTTATTTAAACAAACTCAAATTAAAGTTCCATCAATTAAACACTAATTATCAAGTAATTGTCAAGTAATTATCTTACTAAATATTAAATATGAAGTATGTTCTATGATGTTAACTTCTAATCACACAGGGTTTATGTTCCAGTATTGTATAATAGCGCAATCTAAGTGGTTCTGCTGTTTGGTATACAACATTTACCAAGCCACCGTCTCTACTCAGAAGTTTAGTAGTAACGATCAGATGATGAGGAGACTTCATATTATCCAGGTAACTGTACTTGTTCTTAGTCAATATTCTAGCAAGACATGATACAAGCCATTTGAGCAATAACACATTTTCTTTCATAATGAGGGCGGGAAAACACATAAAATATAGTCAAAAGGTTGACATCGTTAACACTTCGTTATGCCGCGCGCTTATTATATTATACTTTATTCACTCAACGTGACGCGCGCAGTGCACCTTTTAGACTGTTTGTTATTGTTGTTCTGTCGGAATTGGATCGGTGGAGCAAATAGTTTGGGGTAAATCGAGGCTTTAAATATATCATAACTTCAGTCAAGCATATGCTGGATACTACCTCTAGTTCTCTGCTGTATTGGACTATCTCACGAGGGGTAAGTGCTCGTAACTTCCACATTCAGTCAGATCCACTTTTCAGTTGAAATTATTGAATTACTTTGTCGTTTTCAAGCTATTACACACAAGTAACAAGTAACCACCGAATGTGTGTGTGTGTCAGGTACGGGAATCACCACGGAAACAAACAAGTTTGTGTCCTTAAGAACAAGAACATGCACTACTACACACTCGTGTTACCTGTACAGATCAGTACGTTACTCTCAGCTACTCTTCTCAGTTTCTCGGTGTTCTTCATGAAAAGGGTGAGAGTTATCTGTTGTACTATCCCGCTTTATTGCTGTGACTTTTTAGATTGAAACTGTAACTGTCGTGTTAGCGATTTCCAAGCTTTTGGATATATCCCTTTATTGCAGGTTTTCTGACGTAAATTCCTGATGATTCCGTGTATAATTGCGACAAAGGAAAAATGCTCTTTTTATGTGAGGATTTAGTGTATACTGTATATAGTTACGATTGAACTGACCTTAAACCATTTTACAAGTCGGAGATAAAATCACACAGTGCAGTGTCCAGAAAACGTTCCATGGCACTCGGCCAGAAACATCCAATCCATATAGGTGCGTGATCAACTTACTTTGATTTCATTGTTCCCTTTTAAATCAGTCATAATGAAATGCAATATTTAGGGATACTATTTTACCAACTCTCAGTGAACAAAATAGAGAAGAAGCTGATGGGGTTGTCCGCCTCCTTCGTTATCTTGAACGCATTCCTCTTGACAAGACTCACATTCTGCATCCATCAGAGGTTTGTTATAATGGGGGGGGGGGGGGGGGGGGGGGGGGGGGGGTGTCACGTCCGTCTATGTCCGCTTGTCTCATAGAATCCAAAAAGGACAGGACATAGGCGGACATAGGCGGACATAGACGGACATAGGCGGACATAGGCGGACATAGACGGACATAGGCGGACATAGGCGGACATAGGCGGACATTAATGGACACCTAAATTGCTAAATAAAATGTTCAATTTTTGCTGTTATAGGGGGGATCATGTTTTTTGTCCGTTCGGTACCCTATATTTTCAAAACGGACAAAAAATAGAGCGGACAAAAATGGACAAAAACGGACAAAAATGGAAATAACATTTAGATGCTTCCTCCTCCTACTCTTCCTCCTCCTCCTGGGTCTTCCTGATCTTCCTCAGTCCTCTTCCTCCTCCCCTCCTCAGTCCTCCTCCTACTCCTCCTCCTCGTCCTCAGTCCTCCTCATCAGTCCTCAACAGTCCTCCTCCTCCCCAGTCCTCCTCCTCCTCCTGAGTCCTCCTCCTGGGTCCTCCTCCTGGGTCCTCCTCCTCCTCTTCCTCCTCAGTCCTCAGTCTTCTTCAGTCCTCCTCTTCATCCTTCTCCTCAGTCCTCCATCCTCCTCCTCAGTCCTCTCCCAGTCCCCATCCTTCTCCTATTCAGTCCTCCTCCTCCTCCTCAGTCCTCCTTCTTCTCAGTCCTCCTCAGTCCTCCTCCTCCTCCTCCTCCTCCTCCTGAGTCCTCCTCCTCCTCCTCTTCCCTCTCAGTCATCCTCCTCAGCCATCCTCCTCAGTCCTCCTCCTCAGTCCTCCTCCTCCTGGGTCCTCCTCTTCATCCTTCTCATCAGTCCTCCTCCTCCCCAGTCCTCTCCCAGTCCCCCTCCTTCTCCTCCTATTCAGTCCTCCTCTTCCTCCTCCTCCTCCTCCTCCTCAGTTCTCCTCAGTCCTCCTTCTCATTTCTCCTAAGTCCTCCTCCTGGGTCCTCCTCCTGGGTCCTCCTCCTCCTCTTCCTCCTCAGTCCTCAGTCCTCCTCCTCATCCTTCTCCTCAGTCCTCCATCCTCCTCCTCAGTCCTCTCCCAGTCCCCATCCTCCTCCTCCTATTCAGTCCTCCTCCTCCTCCTCCTCCTCAGTCCTCCTTCTTCTCAGTCCTCCTCAGTCCTCCTCCTCCTCCTCCTCCTGAGTCCTCCTCCTCGTCCTCTTCCCTCTCAGTCATCCTCCTCAGCCATCCTCCTCAGTCCTCCTCCTCAGTCCTCCTCCTCCTGGGTCCTCCTCCTCCTCCTCCTCATCCTCCTCCTCTTCCTCCTCGGTCCTCAGTCCTCCTCCTCCTGGGTCCTCCTCTTCATCCTTCTCATCAGTCCTCCTCCTCCCCAGTCCTCTCCCAGACCCCTCCTTCTCCTCCTCCTATTCAATCCTCCTCCTCCTCCTCATCCTCCTCCTCAGTTCTCCTCAGTCCTCCTTCTCATTTCTCCTAAGTCCTCCTCCTGAGTTCTCCTCCTCCTCTTCCTCCTGAGTCCTCCTCCTGAGTCCTCCTCCTCCTCCCTCTCAGTCATCCTCCTCAGTCATCCTCCTCAGCCATCCTCCCCAGCCATCCTCCTCAGCCATCCTCCTCAGTCCTCCTCCTTCTCAGTCCTCCTCAGTCCTCCTCCTCCTCCTCCTCCCTGAGTCCTCCTCCTCCTCCTCCTCTTCCCTCTCAGTCATCCTCCTCAGCCATCCTCCTCAGTCCTCCTCCTCCTGGGTCCTCCTCCTCCTCTTCCTCCTCGGTCCTCAGTCCTCCTCCTCTTGGGTCCTCCTCTTCATCCTTCTCATCAGTCCTCCTCCTCCCCAGTCCTCTCCCAGTCCCCCCTCCTTCTCCTCCTCCTATTCAGTCCTCCTCCTCCTCCTCCTCCTCCTCCTCCTCAGTTCTCCTCAGTCCTCCTTCTCATTTCTCCTAAGTCCTCCTCCTGAGTCCTCCTCCCGTCCTCCTCCTCCTCTTCCTCCTGAGTCCTCCTCCTGAGTCCTCCTCCTCCTCCCTCTCAGTCATCCTCCTGAGTCATCCTCCTCAGCCATCCTCCCCAGCCATCCTCCTCATCCATCCTCCTCAGTCCTCTTCCTCCTCCTGGGTTCTCCTCCTGGGTCCTCCTGGGTCTTCCTGATCCTCCCCAGTCCTCTTCCTCCTCCCCTCCTCAGTCCTCCTCCTACTCCTCCTCCTCGTCCTCAGTCCTCCTCATCAGTCCTCAACAGTTCTCCTCCTCCCCAGTCCTCCTCCTACTCTTCAGTACTCTTCAGTCCTCAAAATGTTTGTCCGCTAATGTCCACCAATGTCCGCTAATGTCCACCAATGTCCGTCCAAGTCCGCCAATGTCCGTCCGGGTCCGCCAATGTCCGTCCGAGTCCGCCAATGTCCGTCCGAGTCCGCCAATGTCCGTCCGTGTCCGCCAATGTCCCAAAAAACACGTCCGTTGTCTCATAGAATCCAAAAAGGACAGGACATAGGCGGACATAGACGGACATGACACCCCCCCCCCTATAATATTACTGAAATTATAAAACCAGTTTCATGAAGAGTAAAACTTCCCTCTTTATTCTATTCTATTCGGTTTTGTACCCACACTTTAATGACTTTAACTTACCGCTTAACAGAGAAGAGGGAGAATTAGCAATTGAATTTAGCAAACTGTAGAATTCAGATCACAATTTCTACAATTCCATTTCAGAGTGGACCTAGACAACGCCTTGAAAGAGTACACAGCGTGTCTTGGTGACATAACTAAAACTACGTGCCCAACCACAACCTACATCCACTTTCTTCACCCAGAAGTCTCTATTATATGCAATATGGTGCTAGGTTAGAGAGATTCCCGTTCTTATCACACATGCCTTCTTCTGTTGCTCAGTAATGATCTCTATAATAAATTAAAACACTGCTTAACTATCCGGTGTTAAGTCCATGATCATTAAGATTATAAAGTCTGGCATAAAATCAGAGGCATAAACTAGTGCGCAAAATCAGGAGTAATTTGTTTGACTATATATTGGAGATTTAACTTAATAAATAATTAATAATTAATAATTTCCTCCCTAACAGGTCTGTACCCAGCAGTAGTACTGATCTTTCTACCGTCCAACAAGCTGCTTCTCGTCCTGTGGAGGAAAAGAGTGTTTGAACTGCTAGGATTGCTTGGTCTCAGTAATCAGTCTGTCTCTGACTTCTCAAACCTACGCTTCTCCGAGTCTGGTAAGAGTTTTTTTTTTGTGATAAAAGTTTTTTTTTTGACTTCTAGTGGTTGTAGAGCTTTGAGAAGGCTGAAAACTAGAAATTTGTAGATACAAAAAAAAGAATTATTATTGTGATTCATAAATTGAGGAATTCTCCAATAAGTTCAAGTGAACTACTCTTAATTAATTTGAACAAGGCATCTAAGGGTCATAATAGTTGAGTGCAAGCGGGGGGGGGGGGGGGGGGGGGGGGGGATCGTACTCACTGGTTAGTTATTTAAGTCCAACCAAAACTAGATAAAAGAGCGAATATAATCCAGGAGTATTGAACTTTCGTAGAGACCAAAAAGGGAAGTGAGTATTGTTAGCAGAACGAGCAGAGTATGTGAGCATTTGAGCAGTTTTATTGAGATTGAAGCGGTTCAGCCTATTTTAGCATTTTACAGTGTGCTCGTCTAGGAATTTGCTCTTTATTACATCTATAATTCTTACAACTCTTTAATACACTAAAACTATTGTGTCGTGAAACTATACTGCTACGGAACAATTTAATAATACCTCAAGTTTGTTTGTTTGGTTTTGGGAGTTCACCAGAAGTGAACTCGGCACTAACGCCTTAAAAATGTTATTTACGTCAGTCATAGAAAAACTGAAAAGAGGACTAAAAGCTAAAGGCACAAATATGACGCAGTGGCGTAACGTTGCCTGTTGGCGCCCCTCCTCCCCCCCCCCCCCCCCCCCAAATGATTAGGAGGGGCGCCAGCAGGGTCTGATCAAATTACGTGTATTAGAGAGGAAAGGAAAGGAAACACATCACTTATTACCCCGCTTGAAAGCGACAAATATATTGAATAAAATATAACTAAACGATTTAAAGTTTAAACATTACGGTGCCCATGTCTGCTCTCCTCGGAAAAACTTTATCCCTCGGAGTAGAAAGATTTTGAGTCATGGATTGGGAAAAAGATGACTGAGTCAATTATCGCGTTAGGTAGGTTGTTTTCCGTGTACATTAAAGTCGCAATTTCGCAATTTCTAGAAGGGATGACAGTGTCCACAAATATTTTGTTAGGTAACATTTTTAATTTCCCAGGTATTAAGTTCTCCTTGTTTTTGTATTTTAATTAATCAGTACATCATTTATGTGATTTTTGAAGACGTTCATTGAGTGATATTGTGATAGTGGGGTTGGTTCAGCTTTTAAAATATTATTATACAACAGTGGTCCTTTGAAGCAGACGGAATTCCTGTACACAATTTCCAGCCATTCTTTATTTTCCTCAGGTTGTGGAGTTTTCTGAGGAAACGTTCCATGCACTGAAATTGGGAGCTTGTGCATGAAAATGGCTGCTCATTTTGCAATGTTATTATGGATAGTGAGGATGTTCAGAAAACTAACAAGTGTTTAACGCTACTTAACGCTACTTAACGCTACTTAACGCTAGGGGGGGTCCAACCCGATGTCCGATATGAGGGTTGATGAGGCCAAAATCGGAATCGGAAAAATCGGAAAAATCGGAAAATTGAGAAATTTTAGAGAATCGATCTCTAAAACCTCTCAGAAGTGATAAAAAAAACCCCTACATTTATTGTTATGAGAAAACGAACTAATTGGACATTCCAATAGTATGTTTTATGTGTTTTTCCACTGCAGGGGCTAGTATGCTCACTACTAGTTGGAGTTGTCATGTAGTCCCAGACCCCAGTGCTTTGGCCTCTTGACGTGAGATCGATTGTTTCTGCTCATTAATTTTATCCCTGTTACTTGTTATTATGTATTAGTACACCACTAGGTACCGGGTTATATTTTGTGGTCCGGTCTTTAAACATACCATAATATCACTAGTACACTGCACCTTAAATGTATAGTCAAGTACTTCCTCAGTCCTCCTCATAGTCGTCCTCCTCCTCCTGAGTCCTTCTCATCCTCCTCCACCTCCTGAGTCCACCTCCTGAGTCCTCCTCCTGAGTCCTCATCCTCCTCCTCAGTCATCATCCTCTTCCTACTGAGTCCTCGCCCAGTCCTCCTCCTTCTCCTCCTCATCCTCCTCCTCCTTCAGTCCTCATCCTCTGTCCTCCTCATAATCGTCCTCGTCCTCATCCTCATCCTTAGTCCTCCTCCTCCTTATCCTCCTCCTCAGTACTCCCCCAGTCCTCATCCTCCTCCTTCTCCTCTTCTTCCTCCTCCTCCTCCTCCTTCTCCTCTTTCTTCTCTTCCTAATCATTCCTCCTCCTCAGTCGTCGTCCTCCTCCTCCTCGTCCTTAGTCCTCCTCCTCTTCAGTATTCCTCCTCAGTCCTCATCCTCATCATCCTCCTCCTCCTCAACAGTCCTCCTCCTCCTCCTCTGTCTCCTCATCCTCCTCCTCAGTCCTCCTCCTCCTTCTCCTACTCCTAAGTCCTCCTCCTCCTCAGTCTTCCTCCTCAGTCTTCCTCCTCAGTCCTCCTTCTCCTTCTCTCCAGTCCTTCTCCTCCTCAGCCTCCTCCTCCTCATCCTCCTCCTTAGTCCTCCTCCTCCTCCTCAGTCCTACTCCTCAGTCCTCCTCCTCCTCATCCTCCTCATCCTCCTCAGTCCTCTTCCTCAGTCCTCATTCTCTTCCTCCTCCGTCCTCCTCCTCCGTCCTCGGTCCCCAGTTCTCCTCCTACTCGTCAGTCCTTCTCCTCCTCCTCAGTCCTTCTCCTCCTCGTCAGTCCTCCTCGTCAGTCTTTCTCCTCCTCCTCAGTCCTTCTCCTCCTCGTCAGTCCTCCTCCTCCTCCTCGTCAGTCCTCTTTCTCCTTCCCCTTCTCCTCCTACTCCTAAGTCCTCCTCCTACTCCTAAGTCCTCCTCCTCCTTCTCAGTCCTCCTCCTCCTTCTCCTTCTCACCAGTCCTTCTCCTCCTCAGCCTCCTCCTCCTCATCCTCCTCCTTAGTCCTCCTTTTCCTCCTCAGTCCTACTCCTCAGTCCTCCTCCTCCTCATCCTCCTCATCCTCCTCAGTCCTCTTCCTCAGTCCTCATTCTCTTCCTCCTCCGTCCTCCTCCTCCGTCCTCAGTCCCCAGTTCTCCTCCTACTCGTCAGTCCTTCTCCTCCTCCTCAGTCCTTCTCCTCCTCGTCAGTCCTCCTCCTCAGTCCTTCTCCTCCTCCTCAGTCCTTCTCCTCCTCGTCAGTCCTCCTCCTCGTCAGTCCTCCTCGTCAGTCTTTCTCCTCCTCCTCAGTCCTTCTCCTCCTCGTCAGTCCTCCTTCTCCTTCTCCTCCTACTCCTAAGTCCTCCTCCTACTCCTAAGTCCTCCTCCTCCTCCTCAGTCCTACCCCAGTCCTCCTCCTCATCCTCAGTCCTCCTCCTCCTCAGTCCTCCCCTAGTTCTCTTCTTCCTCAGTCCTTCCCAGTCCTTCTTCTCCTTCTCCTCATCATCAGTCCTCCTCTTCAATCCTCCTCCTCATTCACTTTCGTCCTCCTCCTCAGTCCTCGCGTCCTCTTAGTCCTCCTCCTCCTCCTCCTCCTCCCCGTCCTCAGTCCTCCTCCTCCTCTTCCTCCTGAGTCCTCCTCCTCTGGAGTCCTCCTCCTCCTCCACCTCATCAGTCCTCCTCCTCCTCTTCAGTCCTCCTCCTAAGTCCTCCTCCTCCACCTCCTGAGTCCTCCTCCTGAGTCATCCTCCTCCTCCTCATTCTCCTCCTTATCCTCAGTCCTTCTCATTCTCCTCCTTATCCTCCTCCTCTTCAGTCCTCCTTCTCAGTCCTCCTCCTCCTTCTCCTCTTCCTTATCCTCCTAATCAGTCCTCCTCCTCTACAATAGCCCTTGTCCTTATCCTCCTAGTCATCGTCCTTAGTCCTCGTCCTCATCCTCCTCAGTCTTCCTCCTCAGTCCTCCTACTCCTCATCAGTCTCCTCCTCCCCAAGTCCTCCTCTTCCTCAGTCCTCCCCCAGTCCTCCTTCTCCTCCTCCTCATCCTCTTCAGTCCTCTTTCTCAGTCCTCATATTCTTCCTCCTCAGTCCTCCTCCTCCTCAGTCCCCAGTCCTCCTCCTTCTCCTTTTCCTCCTTCTCCTCCTACTCCTAAGTCCTCCTCCTTCCCCAGTCCTCCTCCTCTTCAGTCCTCCCCCAGTCCTCCTCCTCCGCAGTCCTCCTCCTCCGCAGTCCTTCCCAAGTCCTCCTCTTCCTCAGTCCTTCCCAGTCCTCCTTCTCCTTCCCTTTCTCCTCATCCTCAGTCCTCCTCCTCAGTCCTCCTCCTCCTCCTTCTCCTTCTGATCAGTCCTCCTCCTCAGTCCTCCTCCTCCTCCTCAGTCCTCCTCCTCCCTCTCATCCTTTTCCTCCTTCTCCTCCTTCTCCTCCTTCTCCTCCTACTCCTAAGTCATCCTCCTGCTCCTCAGTCCTCCCCCAGTGCTCCTCTTCATCAGTCCTCCCCCAGTCCTCCTTCTCCTCTTCCTCATCCTCAGTCCTCCTCCTCATCATCCTCCTCAGTCCTCCTCCTCCTCAGTCCTCCCTAAGTCCTCCTCTTCCTCAGTCCTCCCCAGTCCTTCTTCTCCTCCTCCTCATCCTCAGTCCTCCTCCTCATCCTCAGTCCTCCTCCTCAGTCCTCCTTGTCCTTAGTCCTCCTCCAGTCCTCCTTCTCCTCATCTTCAGTCCTCTTCCTCAGTCCTCGTCCTTCTCCTTTTTAACAGTCCTCCTCCTCAGTCTTCCTCCTCGTCCTCGCTCTCGTCCTCCTCCTTCTCCTCCTTTTCGTCTTCCTCCACACCAATCCTGCTCCTCTTCCTCAGTCCTCCCTCTCCTCTTCAGTCCTCCTCCTCCTCAGTCCTCCTCGGTCCTCCTCTTTCTCCTCAGTCTTCCTCCTTCTCCTCCTCCTCCTCAGTTTTCTTCCTCATCCTCCTCCTCCTTCTTCTATTCCTTCTCCTCCTAATCAGTCCTCCTCCTAATCAGTCCTCCTCCTCAGTCGTCCTCCTCCTCGTCCTTAGTCCTCGTCCTCATCGTCCTTAGTCCTCGTCCTCATCCTCCTAGTCCTCGTCCTTAGTCCTCGTCCTCATCCTCCTAGTGCTCGTCCTGGTCTTCCTCAGTCTTCCTCCTCTGTCCTCCTCAGTCCTCCTTCTCCTCAGTCCTCCTCCTCCTCCTCCTCACCAGTTTACACAATATATTATTACTAAAATGTTTTTAAACGCATTTGAGTCTGAAACATATTGACATGTTACTGTAACTGACTCAAAATGTGCTCGAGATTTTTTTTTAAAACAGAGTTTTACTCTCCAGTACTATGGAAAAGTTGTTACATGATAAATAAAGATTTTGATAAATATAGTGATTTTCATCCCTTTTAATGTTATTGAAAATTGTGTAGACTATTCTTTGTATCTAACTGAGGATTGGAAGTTTGAGAAAGGACCATAGTCATTAACCGTGCTACCCATTTCTGCAGATAGCCTGTTACAAATTGTGGAGACAACTTAAATCAAAAGTTACTAAAGCGTTCGCTATTTGTTACGATTGTTATTACCAACCGTACCTCTTTCAATTGTGGACCGGGGTGGATGTTTCTGTCAAACAAGAGTTGATACGACATTGTGTTGTTTTTCGGACGAAACGATTCTTGTTTGGAACAAGATACCATTTTGGGGTTCTGGGACCACCACCAATCGATTTCTTGTCATATTTAAGTACAGAAATAGCTACCTATATCGCCTAGAAACCTCAGAGGGAAGATTTAAATTTTCCCGATTTTTCCGATATGAGGGTTGATGAGGCCAAAATCGGGATCGGAATGATCGGAAATGATCGGGTTGGACCCCCCCCCCCCCCCACGCTAAGAGTTTATTTGAACTCTTAGCGTTCCATTAGGGTCGATTCTGTCCGAGTCGAAATTATAAGATAGCAGACATGAACCTTGTTAAGTTTCAGAAACTTAATGCTAAAAAGTAAAATAACGAATTTTACATTATATTATTTGAAGCGATCAAAAAATAGTGATCTCACTAATCTATTGTTAATAATAACGTGGTATAATATAAAATACCCCAATATGTTTATCCTAATACGTGGTATAAAATACACCGATATGTTAACTCTCTTACACCGTAAAAGTACACTGACTTGACTTAAGTCGGCTTCTTGGTCCGAGCAACTACAATTCCTCGCCACACGTCGCGGTCAAGCATAACAGATCTTATCTCTTCAACACAGGAAAGGCTGGTGTCCTTCTTTAGCATGTCCAGAAACGTAAGGTGGGGCCTCCCCGGTCTCCTGTATCCATGCTGAGGGTCCCAGAACAGAAGTTGGTTTGCCAGAAGGTCGTCATGCCTGGCTACATGTCCAGCCAGTCTCATTCTTCTGGAGGCTATCATCGCTGATGGCTTGGGGATGTTGCCGTATAAATCACTGTTGTTGATGATTTGTGGCCAACGTATGTTCAAGGCCATCCGGAGCATTCTAGTGTAGCATCCATTGATCCGCTTAGTCATGGATTGGCTTATCGTCCAAGCTTCAGAGCCGTACAGGAGTACGGGCTCAACCGTTGCTCGAAAGACACGGATCTTTAAGTCCCTGCGCATTCCAGACTTCCAGGTTGTCTTTAACTGATGACAGGCCCCCCATGCCTTTGCTTTCCTAACATCAAAGTCCTTCTCCGCACTTATTATTCTGCTTCCAAGGTAGACAAAGTCATCTAAAAGTACACTATTAAAATATATTAAACTAATTTAAGAAAAACAAATGCCAAAAAACTTGACTACAGACTTATAACTAGCGCACAGTGCATCTTTTTCTAAAATCAAAATTAATTTGCTATTTGTTTAAACTTTAAGTACATATTTTATACGATTACGAATACAATATGAATGGAAGTACAAAATACTGATTTATCTAGAGTTGAAAAATACGTGAGATAGTTTTAAAGTTTTAAAGTACGTATTTTTCAACTCTGAATCTAACCGAATAGTTTAGGCTTGCCTCTTACACCAAATAGTTTGCCTAACCTAGGTAATGGGTATCACTTAATCTAAAAGGCCCGTGGACACAGGGAATAAGCTTATGGTTTTCTTTGATTGTCAGTTTTACCGCATCAAAAATATCCATCCCAACCGAAGAGATAGCCGATTTAAATGTAAAACTCTTCACACAAGTTAATATTTTAATAACCGCAAAACTGCTCAAAATATCGATTGTAAATCTTTGCACGGTAACGTGCGTGTCTCCAATTACTGTGCACTATAATGCAAATAAGGTTCGATAAGGTATAATGCAACATTGCAACATACTTTAGGTTAACATTACACCAATGCCAATGCAAACTTCATTCGTTTGGTTCCTTTGCACAGTCAGAGCAAATCTCCGCGCTCACTTTCTCTCCGTTGTGCCGGAAAGTGTAGGCGGAAGATGTGTCTTCCTTCAGTGGTTCCTTACACCCCAAACAGGTCTTCAAGGTTGTGGGCCCTTTCTGAGTTGAGAACAGTCGCCAAACTTGCTGGAACGGAGAGAACTCCGCGCTCCGTTCTTTGCAGCTCATCTACAGGAAGAAAAAGAGGTTATCTTCCCTTTCTTATAAACGTTATCAATCATTAATAGTAATATATATAAGGAGGTGGTGCTAGTGGCAAACCAATAGACTAATATCACATCGAGCAATCAACTTCAAATATCACTGTAGCCTGTCAAAATAAACATGAATACCGCCAATACTGGTAGCGATTAAACAATAGAAAACACCGTTAATCATCATACTGAAGAAATCATCCATTATTTTATGAGATTATATTAATCACATAATGATTTGTTTTCATAACTAAACCCAATTTGAATAATATGTACCTCTCTGTGAAGAATGAGTCCCAGTTGCAGCTGCCTCGTTCTTCTTCCCGACATTATTTTTCTGGGGAAAAGTATGTAGTTTAACCATAATTTGACTAGATTACAGTTTTATTCACAAGAAGTTGCAAAGTATGTTATAGTACATTTGAAGCAGGACTCATTATTAAGATTATTGTGTACGTCGGACATCCAATAAAGAAGTATAATGTAAAGAGTTAGATATTCTCTTACTTGTGAAGATAGATGGCCCTCTCTTGAGCTCGTTTGGGGTAGTAAGCGTTGCAGATAATCTGCCTGAGACGACTGAAGTAAGCTTCTATCACACAAGAAAGTAATGCAGCGATTATAATAGCGAATATAGGCCATATCGAAGAATTATTCGTCCTCTGTGGGCTTGGCAAACATTTGTCCGTGGAGAGGTCGAATCCGTCGATCCTTATCGTGTTGGAGAGACTCTGGCCTGTTGCCTCTTTCAGGGTGCTTCCGAATGAAATCCCCTGTTCCATCCCGGGGAACGTGATTCCGAAACTCGCATGTTCTTTGAATGCCTCGAGAGTAACAGCAAAGAGGTAGTCCATGAGCAGGATGCCAGAGATGACAATTGCAGCACATAAACTTGGGATACTTTCCGTAACCAAAGATATTGTTTCCTTTTTGCTTAAAATCATGCTGACCGCAAGATGGTACTTTTCCTTAAGCTCCCAGCATCTCATCGGAGTCACCTTAGGCTTTTTCTCTTTCTCGCAGATTTCCTTAAAACTGTGGTTGATGGTCATGTTATCGAACGCATCATCCTTGTAAAATGAGCCTACGTAAACATATGCATCATAGATGATAAGGATAATGCTAATGTAGAAAATCTTGGAAGCCCATCGCGCTATAATTTTCGTGGATTCGAAAGCGTGCATGAAGATTCCCTGAAGTGTGTCACGAATTTTTCTAATACTGCTTGAATCGATCTCCGCTGCAAGCATATCAAAGTCCATATCGATGAGGTCTAAGTTCGGATTTAGGTCCCGGACAATGTTTTTCAGTGCATCCAAAGAAATCCCATCAAACGCAGATAAATCTAAATCTGGAACATCAATTATGTTTGGTGGTTCACAGGAAGACCTTTTTCGACGCCCGGTAAAAATGTCCTCAAAAGCATCAACAAAACCCCTTCCAGCATCAAATAAAGAATCAAGAACACCCCCTCCAGCCATAGTAACACCATCGCAGAAACCTGAAATCATACTACCTGGGGTATTCAGCACATCTCCAATGCTTTCCGCTACTTCCTTCATTTCTCTCATCTTTTTTTCCACGTCTCGTTTCGTAGCCTCAATATTTGCTCGTGTTTCTGCAGTCGCATTCTCAATATCCCTCTCTAGCTGAGCAAGATAAGCTTTGGATGCGTCGTTCATCATAGCAAGGAGTTTTTTAAACTGCTCCATGATTTTAACAAACTGTTCTACGGACCTTTCGGCCATACTTTTAATCTCGCGGTACATGCAGGTGAACGAACGGACTACCTCTTGAACATTGTGTTCTAGCGTGGAAAGTGGTCCCTCAATCACTAGTGCCAGTGCAAAGCTGAACATGAAGCTCCTCCCACGCTTTGTCAGCAGACTTGGTAACATGAGGACCATGTTGCATCTCACCTTGGTAGAGAAGACACTGGTGAGAGCTAGTCCGGACCCCACCACTGCACCAATCCCTCCTCCCACTAGGTGACTTGTTCTCTTACTCATCAGAGCAGTCTCGTTAATGCTGGTCTGGTAGAGTCCTGCTGTCCAGCTGGAGTAGATGTGTTTAGTAGAGGGGTTGGTAGAGGTGTTGGTAGAGGTGTTAGTAGAGGTGTTGGTAGAGGTGTTAGTAGAGGGGTTGGTAGAACTGCAAGTAAAGTTGTCGGGTGCTGTGAAGGGAAGTCCTGCTAGTATAAGATGGGTTATATAGAGGTAGATGAGAACTCCATAAATCGGACCCATCAGTAAGCCTGCTAGTCGGCACTGTGATATATATGTTAGGAAGGCAGCGGGTGTGCAGCGAAATCTTCCAGTTTTAGATTTCTGTTCTCGGACATTGTTTACAGTTTCAATCTCGAACTTCTCGATCAAAGAGTAGACAGCGGCTGATGACCGATCATTGGTAGCCATTCTTGTAGTTGTAACCAGGTTAGAAGTTATCTCATTGCTATTTGCTATCAGTAATTTAGTTTCTGCTGATAGCGCTCGATGGCGATTGGCGATTGGCGCAATCCAGCGCTAACTAGCGCTAGCTTGCGCTAGTTAGCGCAAATTTATTGTTTGCGCTAGCTAGTGTTAAAAGACGCTAACACGCGCTAGTTGTTAACGGGTGGTACTCTTAAAATATTTATTTCAAAGATAAACCTACATCAATATAAACCTACGAGTGACTACCTTATCGGACCTTATTTGGACGGACATTAATTGAACGCTGGAGGCCCTAACGTTCATCATAATGTCCGTTCAAATAAAGTCCGTCCAAGTTAAAGTCCGTGCTTTTTGTCCAGAATATGACAACTATGAGAACTTTATTGTGCAGTAAGTTAACGACGGAAAGGTTCTCCTTGGTCTGCCGGAGGCACAGAAAACTCTACTAGTATATGATGTTTTTAGGGGGCACTTTGCAAAAAAAGTCAACGAAATAATGGCACTCAACAACATAGTTCATGAGCTAGTCCCCACCAACATTACACACTTGTTTCAGCCTCCAGATATTACGGTAAATTGTGTTGCCAAGGACATTGTCCGACGTTGTTATAGTTCATATTACTCAGGGAGGTAATGAAATGGACAACAGTGCTAGAAAAGCTCCATGCCCGTATTAATTTGCACGCAGTAATCGATACGCGTATTCAAATACTATTGGTGGTGTTGGGCAAGATCAGGACTGCGGCCACACGAGTTTTAACGGAATATAGTTGATCCCAGAAACTTGCGGGACAACAAAATGCGATTATAATATCGATAACGACCGCAGCGACGGTATTAGTACAGTGAGAAAAATTAAATCGTAAACATGTTTGAGTTTGTAGCGTATATATGACGCTTTGCCCTTGTCAGAGGGTCTATCATTATGAGTTTAGATTGAAATTGGCTAATCTCCTCTGAATTGAATACAAATAACACACGTTATTGCCGACGTTTCGCCACCATGGCTTCTTCAAGGCGGAACACAAACTTTGTTACATAGTGACCTGGTAAATATCCAAATTAATACATAAAACTCTGAGAAAGATTAAAATAAAATAGGAAGATTCTAAGCGGTAGAAAATTTTAAAGCAAAAGATAGAAGTTAGGCCAAAGAATCTAGAACTGTCCAAAATTTGAGAGCTAGACCAACGTACACAAACCGTAACAAAAATAACTTCCTACTCCCTAACATATTCGGGGAAACTGAAAAGGGTGCCACGTATATATCTGTTGATGACATTTACATAATAGCCCATGTGGTCTTTTGCCACGAGTCTGCTTCAGGTGAGAGCTGAGTGTTTATTTTAGGAAGTAACTGCTTGATATACAGTGATTGCCAGATCATTCGGTCTGCGTAATCCTTACATACTTTGAGGACTTCGAATTTAAATGGTTCGGTAGGAATTTCTTTTATTTCAGGGTGTGACATGAGATAAACATGTTTACCTTTTTTTAAAAGCTGTGCCTGAAATCTGTGTGAATCGAAAAGAGAGAGCCAAAAAATCGGATATATTTTTTTGAGCGTATTAATACAGTGAAAAATTGGCCATGGAACTAGAGGGTTATCAATGACCTATTTAACTCGACAGTAGCAAACAACTCTATACAGCAACGTGTACACTGAACTGTCTGTCTGAACATCAGACAAAGGGAAAAAATAAAGCGGTCAAACACGTCTACAGAACCTACACGCACTTCCATTTTAAATTATATTTTCTCGTACAAACGATAATCAAAAGTAAAAAATAAACTCTGTAATTCGCTTCCTAATATCACCCTGGCTAGTGAGTAAAGTATCTACGTAACATTTCCGTATAAATACGTGATTAATAACAATAAATCGTGTTGCCAAGGACATTGTCCGACGTTGTTATAGTTCATATTACTCAGGGGAGGTAATGAAACAGTGCTCGGAAAGCTCCACGTGATGTTAAGGTTAGCCAAAAGTTATCTAAGATAAAACCACTTCATGCCGAATGGCTTGTAAAAGTTAACACTGAAATGCAGGACTGGGGTAGTTTGATATGATTGATTGGGGGACTGGTCTGTAGTACCAGCCAATGTTTACTCAAAAGTAATATATAAATAAGTTAAATATTCATCCCCGAAGGGCACGCAGATTATGATTGTGATATTATCTATAAAAACTATTCAATTAAAAGTTAATTGGTCGAGTCGACTGGCCCTGATCTGCAAACATATTAATTGATATTAGTAACTTTATGATGCTGCCTCACCGCAATTAGGTGTACTAGCAGGAACCCGTATAACCCTAAAATGGTGTCAAGACTCAAGAGACCAAAATAATTATTACCTATTTAATTCGCGTTTTTGACACCACTTGGGGTACCAAATTTTGGGCTCTAAAACTCCTTCCTCTTGGCCAATTTTTTATTTTTTCATGCTGATTTGGAGGCCATAAAAGCATTTGACCCAGTCAAAAAAGTTTCGGTTGTATATATTTTACGGTTTTTGTGGAAATTTGCGTTAAAGTTGATGCCGTGGTGTCAGTAAAATGGCACAGATAAATATATATACATACATATATATATCGTCTCGCTTTATATATAGTAAGATTATCAGTGTAGATATGCGCTATGTGGCAGTGAAATAAGGAATGTGCTGTTAGAATGACCTAAAAAAAGGTTTCCATAAAGATATAGAAATCACTGATGCATGGCCGACTATTTTATGCACAAAAACCCATTCGATGAAGATGACATGTGATATTATACACTGATCATGTACATATATTCTAACATTTTTACTGCTTAACGACTGCTTTTCTTACTAATTACTGTATAATTATAAAAAATTGATTTAAAAAATCATTTGCTGAAATAAAAAACGTCAAAAAAATGAAAAAATTCGGATTTTTAATGGTTTTGATTGCCTTTCAGCGTTCATATTCATGTCCGTTCATTATTATGTCCGTTCATTTAATGCAAATGTTCGTCCAAATAAGGTCCGATAAGGTATAATAATAATAATACATTTCTATTTGCTAGGTCATATAATATTAATATGCACTTTGTGATTTTTTTTTCTTGCGTTGCAAGCCCTGTTTCTTATAAAAAACAACCACTGTTGTAGATACACACAGTCTCTACGCCTTTATCCTCTGGTCCCTAGGGTCAGCTGAGTCCGGGCCAGAGGAAAATCACCGATTGCCAAGGTTTGATGCCTAGGCAGTCGAGACCTCTTATTGAGACCCGATATAATAAATTGTTTTGTCAGCTATATAGAACTCTTTACAAACTCAACTCTTGGCGGACAGCCTCAAATCAGTGTCTACACACTACATTTTGTTTTTTTTAAAACATATTTTTAATCACTGTTATCAGACATTATGAGTCCTATATAAGGCTACATTTAGTCCACGAATCTGAGCTATGCACTCAAAGTCCTGTTTAGACGTGGAGGCGTCTTGCGAACGAGACGAAAGTGTCCAACGTCAATAATCTTCCCGCTCCTTATCACCCATGAACGCCTGCTCGATTCCTCCTCAATTGTCTGCCTCAGCTTTTCAACAAGCTAACAAGACTACGGTGAGTCTACTGCTGTTCCTGTTTGGCGAAGCAAACATCTTGTTCCAGGGGTCACCACGCATGCGGAATTTTGGGATGTCTTTTAAAATTCTCTGGACGTACTCAGGGACTGAGGGACTGAGGGACTGCTCATTGTAACTTTGATCGGAGCATTGGCTGCCCGACCAACTTTTTCCCACTTGACGATTTCACCCGTCGTCACGTTACATTCTGACACCACATCAAGCACCTGATGTTGTCTCGCCATTGCTTGTCCTCTCCCTTTCCGACATGTTCTTCATTCACACCGAAGAGTAGGAAACTGCATCGCTTCTCTTCAGCGTATTTCTCTTTCTTTCAGCCACGCCCATTATATTTGGTCCCAATTATGCCCAATTATGCCAAATTACCTTAAAATGCTCAAACCCCCTGATTTTAGGTGCTTTACTTGTAGCCAGTGGTCTCTTGAACTCGTATATGAATTTTCATTACGATTAACGGACAAAAAATTGCTGAGTTATGGGCCAAAAACCATATGCCCATATTTCGGCATACGCTCTTAATTTGATCGATTTTGTCCCATAAATTGGTCAAGTATTAATATTTTTGAATGAAACCAACTTTATATGGAAGGTAAGCCTAAACTACATTCTCTATGATTATCAGCTCAATATCTATCAACACATGTATATTCTGTGTTCAAATAGTCGCAAAAAATTAACAAAATTACCCATATCTCAGTTCGCGATAATCGCGGAATAGAACTGATTTCGCTCAAAACAATAGAACTCGATAGGGTTTCAATATTTTTTCATGAAAAGGTAAATTCCGTTTTTAA